AAGTTATAACAAGCTTACTTGAAGTAAAGCTTTCATCTCTTGAAACCGAACGGTCTCGTATTATTATCAAAAAGGTTAGGAGAAAATTAAATGCAGGATAATTTACTGAGGGTTGAATTATTATGTTTACACAGTTAACATTTTCTATCTAGTTCTTAGTCTTTGAAAAAATTAAAGAGATATTCTTTCAATAAGGTAGAGTTTTATCTAATCGGATAAATAGCAAATAATTTCAAAGAAAGGAAGAATATCATCCTTTAAGTATCGCTTTATAGTATCAAGAAATAAAATATAATCTTCGAAGAACTCTTATTTCTGTATTGTTGACAATATGGAGTGATTCAGTAATCATTTCTGGTGGGTTCTCGCTGAACCGAAATAAAAACTTGATCATAGTTTAAATTCATCTTTTTTTTTTCTTAATTTTTTCAATATAATTATATATCGAATTTTAATTTAATAGTTTATACTCTCCAACATATATTTTTGAATATACACCAAAAGTCAAAATCTTATATTAACTTAATTTTCTATGATTAATTTATACTTAATCTTCTATGAGAGCCAAATAGCTTTCTAATATATTTTGAAATATCTATTAAATTGTTGTGCTTCTAAATATAATCCTATTATAAGTTTCAACTTTGCATCTTGAAAGTGTTGTCTATATTATTAGTAGTTTTAAAGATTACTTCAAAGATACTAATTCTACTAGCAGTAACATTCATTAAAGTATGAAGCTTCACTTTACAAGCCTAAGAATGATTATACTCGCTTATGTAACTATATCATTGCACCCTGTCTATGATTGTACATATAATTGTATAAAATGTGCATCTCTTTCAATTTAAGAAACAACTTTTATCCTAAATTCAACTATAACTGTAATGGAACTCCTAATTTCATGTTAAAATTCTAAATTGTAGAGTAAGTAAATGAAACAATAATTCTTTATATAAAAATCAATCATTAGTTACTACCCAAATAGCTTTAAGAAAAATATCTATTTTTTTCTTTTATTAATAAGCACCTTAAATCTCATAACATATGGTTGTGTTTATTTAAAAGACAATCTTGTTATTTAAAATTTAAATAAAAGCATTGAAAAATTTAATACTGCCATGCTTGTTTTTTTTTCTTTAAGGTTTTATTATTAAATAGACAAATTTAATCTTAATTTAAATATATATATCTTCAAATTTAAGAGTTCATTACTTTTTTCATGGTAAGTGTAATTAGATATAATTTTTTCTCGAATCAAGCAAAATTCGAGAAAAAGTAACTGTGTGATAAGTTACGATAGTAATAGATTTAATAAAATTAATATTTTGTCCTTCTCACCAATATCATTATATCAATTTCTTAATATATTTATTTTATGCCAACGAGCATATTGTGGATAAATTTTTATCGCTTGAGTGTATTCAATCAACTCATTGCAAATTTATTATCAGTGTAATATTGTATTTCTTCGACTATACAGGTTCAAAAATTAGATTGTTCTTCTTCAATTAATGCATAGTCTTTTTCTTAAATGTCAGAATACAAAATGACTCATACCTATAATTGGTATTGCTTAATTATTATCAATTCATGCTTTGACACCTCAATTTCAGCTGGATCAGGTTTTGCATTGCTTAATTATAATCCATTAATGTTTTTGTCTTTCCTCGGCAATATCAACATTTAAATTGACTAATATAAGCAATGTAGTGATAGTCCTTTTCAAGTTGGATTTCTCGATTATAATCAATTAATGCATTCTCAATATTTACCCCCCCCATAGTTGAGACATTTTGGATAAGAATTATTAAATCTAGTTAAAGGTTTAGGCTAATAGGTCAAAATGATTAATTATACTTTCATTAATAAATAAAGTACCTATCATGACCCAACATTAGTCACCAATTTAATTTTATTATATTGTACTTCTTAAAAGAAAAAATTCCTGTTCTTTGTTTAGTTTATAAAGTAAACATATGAAATATGAAAGTTGATGAGATGAATAAATCAATTAAATAATCCACTCAAAATGATGAAATTGTGAATTAAATAAAAAAAAGTTGCTTACTTTTCAAAGTAAGCATCATAATTATATCAAATTAATAAAAAAGATAGAGATACTTACTGATGATTTAGGTTGAATTAATCCTTTTAATTTGGTGGAGTATTTAGGTATTGTAAATTGTTTCCATTCAATTTAAAATGGCCACTGTATATTCATGTTGATTTAAGTGATCTATTTTCAACTTCTTCAGCTAAATTAATTTTTTTGTGTTACACATAAATGGAATTTTGTGTGAAAAGTGATAAGTTCCAAATTTTTAAATTATGATTTATCAGCATAACTTTTATTTGGCGAAAATTATTTACTTAAACTATATTAGATTTCATAATTGAAAGATTATGCATATCAATAGAAGGACTATAATGTAATTAATGTTTGAGATCACAGTTATGAATAACATTTTTTTAAGAAAAGATTGCACAATACTAATTATATGATAGATTTTCTGATTAATATTGAAAATTTATTTAATTTTAATTTTGGACTGATGCAATATTCTAATATACATCAAGTTGATATTAAATTAGAGTTTTTAATATATTGGTTGAATTTATATATGATTTTTAAGTCAATACATTGTTTAAACTATAAATGATTTTTAGGTCAATATAATGGTTGAATATATTTACAATTTTTAGGTCAATTTATTGTTAAATTATAGATGAATTTTAGATCAATTTATTGTTTTTAAATTAAAAATGATTTTTAGATCAATGCATTGTTATTCTTTTAAATTATTAATAATTTTAGATCAATCATATATTTTTTAATAATATATGATTTTCAGATCAATATATTGGTGATATTTATATTGATATTTTGATCAATATATTGGTTGATTTATATATGATTTTTAGGTCAATTTATTGTTTTAAACTATAATGGTTTTTTAACTCAATATATTGTTTTAAATGATAATAGGATTTCAGATCAATATATTATTGAGAAACAAATCCGAATTTGTTTTTGTGATGTTAGTAGTTTAGGGGCTTATACAATTTATAATACTTGTATTTTAGAGTGGCGGTAATTGAAATTATCTAGAATAGGAATTAGTACATATATCATTTGAAGTTCAGTAACTCCTCAAGATTTTCTTAATTAATTCGAAAACTGAAAAAATTCTTAAGAATAACCATTATACCAAAAGAAATTAATATTTGTTCACAATATTTTAAAGGTTAATTAGAGGTTGTATGATATATTTCAGGTTAAATTTACAATCAAATTATTGATTTATGTTATTAGACTGATGGAACTCATGATGCTGAACTTGTTAACTTGAGTAAATATGATGAATACGATGTAAAATAATGCATAATTATAAAATTCCTTTTTTAATTGTAATAAATCATCACAATGAAATTTTATTAATTAGATCAAATAGTTAACAATTCTTTGATTCAAAAATAACAAAATCTATAAATGTTTTGTATATTTAATTTTGAAATTTTTATCTATCCATCAAATATTTTTGCATGATGATTGAAAATGTAATTTATCTTCAAAGTTTTTATTTCTTATTAAATTTTCTGTGTCTCTCTTTTAAGCTAAAATATCATGACGCATCTTACCATTTCTTTCTATGAAAAATTAGAAGCCTTGAGTAAACTCACCACACATCTTTAATTTTTCATTCAACCAGCAAAATATGTAACTTTCTTTACTATTTTTCGATGTAAGAATTGAATAATTTCAAACTAAGAAAATATCATGTAAGTAAGCGATGCCTGTTAAACATGTGATTTATCTTATTTTAGGTTAAAAGCCCTTCCAACTAGATTTAAACATTACCCAAAACTGATCTCTTATTTGCTCAAAAGATATAACTTTTCAAGTTTGAAATTTATGCTTTATTGTCATACATTCTAATAAACTGTAATTGTTCCTAATACAGATCTATATCCTATATTAAATTAATAATGTGAATAAATTTTCTAATCTAGAAATGATTATTATTTCAACAGGAGTTTACCGTTCGCTGGTGTAGAGTAAGGCTGATCTCTGTATTTAGTCAAGCTTAACATCATTGTTTAATAAAATCCATAACTTATCTTCACAAGAATCTTAGATTTATTTGTTATTCGCCCAAAATCAAAAACTAAATATGTGATATTTTTCTGTATATAAAGAGTAACTTAAAACTATCTTCAAGAGAATATATTAATGTACTAGGATTTGTCTTTGATTACATGCTTTCAATTTGTTCATTTCTACCTTCTCATAATGCATAATTAGTAAACTCAAGAGTTGAAAAAATATTAATAGATATATAACTTATTTCAAAAGTGTGATTATATACAAATCCAAGGTTAATTATATGCACTGATTAAACTAATTAATACTTTCCATAAAAAATGCCTATTTTTGGAAAGTGCAACTGAAGAATTTTTAAACGTACCAATTTTAATTTATCAGACTGTAATAAAGGTAAAAGGCATCAATGTTATTAAGACTTAGATTCACTTTATTCTATTCAACAACATTCAATCATTTTTGACAATATCTTGCTATCTAGCTGATGACTAGTGCTTCTAACACGTTTTATTAATGCATGCTATGGACCTTCAATCACATATTGAATTTAATTAGTCAATCCTAACGACTTAATGTGCAAAGAACATCCCAATCTGTTTTGTCCCTTCAAAAAATCAACAAAAAGTACTCTTTTTAGTATAAAACTTCAGTGTAGATAGGTTCGTTTAGGTTTTAAAAGCTAATTAACTTTTTGAATATTTCTGCTATTGATACTGCTTGAAATTGAAGATTACAATACTGAAAGGAATAAAGTAGTTATCAATTGATTAGTTAATTAAAATGTTAATTAATATTTGTTTAATTGATTTCAGATCATACTGCATCTTGAGATTTACTTTAAGACTTAACATAGGCTACCAGGCGTAAATTTTTTGATTTCTAAATAATGCAAAAATCAGATCCATCTGCTCTGATTCTAGTATTAACCATTTCTGGCACTTTTGTTAAGTAGACTTTTGGATCCTTTTTAAATTTTCGCCTCTAGAAGATTAAAAAGTACTATACCAATAAGATTTAACAGATTCAAGGTCAGACTCTAATCATTAAACTTGCAAAATTCATTTTGACCTTTCAAGAGTAATATGTTGAGCAACCTGAAAATTATGCAAAGAAGTACTTATCATCTGGATGTTGCCTAAGACTTAAAAATGGTTTCTTTCGGAATTTTTCAATAGGATCAATATCAATTTTCTATTTAGATGTCCTTGAATTGAAGTAAATACATTCACAGATGAAAAGTATCAAACTAAACGACTACTATGGAATAATCTACGTCATTAATTTTTCATAAAGAAATAATACCTAAAAGTCTTTGTTAATTCACTGAAAGCCCATGATTCTTTTCCTAAAAAACTCTTTTCTTTATTCCTGTGTGAACAATATATTCTAAGGTTATATCATTTAAAAGAGTTAATCAACAGCATCAGAGATTGAAATTACATTTTTTGGGATATCATATTCTCATTCTTAACAACACACCCAATTCAGATCTTTACTTATATTAAGTAGTTTATCTCTACTTTTGACTTCAATTAGTGTTTTTCATCATTTTGCATATTGTTATTGATTGTTGAAATTATAGACTAAATAATCAAGTTTTTCATATTGGAATCACATTAAATTCACATATGCTAGAATAAACTTATAATTATTTGTATAATCTTTATTCAATACAATCCTTAAACATTTATCTCTTACACAAAATATTATAAATATATATTAGCTGAAATGTTCTTGATTGTTAATCATAAATTTTTAATATGAATTTAGTTTAGCCCTCATGCTAAGTTTTATCCTCTTGCACTATTTAATTTCTGAATAGCAATAAGATAATAATTGAATAGAACAATAACAATTTAACTACATTATAGACCTTTAAAAGTGCAAAGTTTTCAATAATACTAAAATAAATTGCATTAACTTCAAATAGTATCTCATATTCATATTCATTATTTAGATTAATGATAATCATATCTGCAAAACCACAAGTACTTCTTTCTAATATTATTATTATTATTCAACATTGCATGTCCATGAATATCAAATATCAAATCAGCTGATGAGATATTCATCATAAAGTTCTATTAAGGTTATTGTTTTCTAATTTAAGCTCTTTCGTTCCATCTTCCGTGCTACCAAACTGTATTATTCTTTCCTGAATTGTTGATATGACATTCTTCCTTGATTATCATTCATGAATGGACTAACTTTTGTTTAATCCATTTTTCTTTTCTGTTTAAATGTTTCTTCCATTCTCGTCTTTGTCACTTATTCCCTTACTCTCTCCCTTTTCAAGGAAATTATATTTTCTAATTTGCTTTCATCAGGTACTTACAGATTTTCATCTTTTAATTACTAGGTGTTACACGCTTTTTCTTATATTGAACTTATTTTATGTAACACCTTAGTTTATTCTACAAATGACTCTTAAAAGTGTCGGTATTGAGGCTATGATGTTGTCACTTATTTTTTTTTAATTTTCTGAATTGGGACTTTTATTTATATTTCCTCTCTTCAGTATCTGTGTAGAGGATCATTCCAATCCCTGTATCTAAGAATTCTTATAAAATTTCTTAAGATTTCCGAACTTAGAAGTCGTTGTAAAAACCAAAAAGTGTAAGAGTGCTCTGGAAGCCAAGGACAAGGTTATTAAGAAGTTATTCTTTACTGGGATGTTTAAATGGTTCTTTTCTTGTTTTTTACTTATCAAGCACGATTTAGTTATTTAATTTTAATATTTTCTAACACAATATCTATAATTACTTGCGCCCTTATTTGAGAATGAAAAATTGTTCCATTGTATTCAATTTAAATATTTTCTTAATCAAGACATTTCTAAATTTAATTTTTTAATTACTATTTATGAAGCAATGAGCTAAAATTCTCTTTCGTTTTATTAATAAGTATTTGAGGCTAAATACAAATCATTTTTATTTATGATAAATTATAATCATTCAGAGATTTACTATTTTTATTTTTAATTTGTTTTAACCTTCAAAAACACTATTTATGCATAGATAATAATTAATCAACTGCACACAATAAAAGAAGTAAGTATCAATTCATTAATTTATCAATTCCCGATTGGTATTACTACTCATGTACTTAGAGTTAGGTTGTAATATTTCTTTATATTATTGTAACTCAAACTTCATTTTTATTTACTCCAACGCAGCTGCAATTTCTCATTTAGAATAATATGATGATCACAATCATTTTAAGGAAATTTTTAAATTTTATCTACTCATAAGAGGAAAAATATATGGACTAACTGAGCAACCGTTTTAAACGAATCATTAAAGAGCCTAACAAGAATACAACTAAAATTGATCACACTATTAATCAATGTGATCAAATATAAGAAATACTTCATTGAAAGCTTGATGACACTTAGCTAAAAAATACGGTGTTTAAAATCGAATATAGCGCATACCAGTAAATAATAATAGGAAATCTTAGAACTCGAAAAGAAAGAATAAAAGAATTAAATTTATATTAGTCAAGCTTTGCAAATACAAGAAAAAACATTAAAGAATTTTCCATATATGATAATAATTAGATAGATTCAAACTCATGCACAACAGAAACAATCTTTCATTTGAAGTCGGATGCTAATGAATATACCCCATAGTAGAATAATATTAATAATCGATGAGATTATGGATTAAATTAAATATATTCACCATCTTATATTCATGAAGATAGTAATAATAATAATGTTGGATGAGGAATATATGTGTCTTTGGATCACTTGGTTCAACACTTGTGGTACAGGAGTGTTTAAAAATATCTATTTTGTCCCTCAATGTGGCACACAGGGGGCAGATCATTCTATCGTCAAAAGATAGCCTCAATAACCCACAAATCTATATTAATTTATTCAACCTTGATGCAATTAATTTGAGTTCCTCCTTAAGGTTTCTTATTACTCTAAAATATCTCTCTAGATCTTTGTCTCCAACAATTCTGATTTCTATTACTCTAATGGTTGATTTATTCTGGCTAGGATTACACATCACAATGTCAGATGCATAGTATAACGTATCTATGAAGCCCACACATTTCTAAGTAACATTGTCCAGTTGTTTATCACTTACAGCTTTAATAAAATCCAAATCTTTCATTATTATGCGCCTCGCTTTATTAAACTCACCTCTTCTGCTCAATATGTAATCCTTCTCTAGTCTCAAGTTTGATTGTAGGTACTCAAAGTTAAGCTTCAAAAACAGTTATAGATAGCTATTCACTCCATAGAGTTGTGCAAATTTAACAAGTCCATCAGGAAATATTTTCATAGGAAGAACCAGTTTGTCTCAATCTTCACCCAAATCTTTAGTCAAGAATAAGACCTCATCTATCAGTTTAATATCTTAGATAAGTCCATCATTAAGTCGACTAGACGACCATTATTGGGTTACGACACTAGAGTCCATCTTTAGCCTTTTCTCCATTTCCTTGCTCCTTTGGGAATATTAATCCGATATCCTTTCTTCAACAATCGCTTGGCCTAAATCTGCTGTTTTTCTTTCTTTTACTAGCTCAAGGTCCTGAATAACTATCTTACCTTCGAACTCTCAATCGAGCTCGGTCTGCTAGGCTTTCTTTCTCCCACTACTATTATTTTCTTCTTACCTCTTGCATTACATATATAGCTAGACCAATTCTACTGTATTAATTGAATATTCTTATTGTTCTTTTCTTTGGAGAAGCCATCCAATTATTCCAGTTGATTCTTGTATAAGACTACATGGTCATAAATCGCTACGTCGTCTTGGATTTATGGCTCTTCTATATCACTGGGTCCTTGCCTGGGAACTAGTCCCATCTATGTATCACTATGCCAGCTTCAACTATCCTTGGTATAGTACTCTGGTAACCTTACTTTTAAATACTAACTGCGCATTCTGATAAATACTTATCGTCCATAAGATTATCTATTTAAATATATTTCTCCTCACCTTATCTGTTAATCCATATTTTAGGTATATTATGAAGATTATATATTCTTCAGAAAGACCTAACTTTTCTATAATTGCAGTTACGATCTTTAAACTATCAAAATAAATAAATTATTATCTAAATAATCAAATATTAAAGCTCATAAGCCTAATACCTAAGTAGAGGTCCATTATTCTTTTTTATATAAAAATTTGTAAACTGACAAAATTTATTCTATATTACTTAAGTTTGAATATTAATCTGATTTGGAATAAAATTAACTAAAATAGAAGAGCTTTGAAAAGACTTACATTTAGGATATATTTTAAATTAATTTCCCTTAGTATTTACTATTTTCTCAACTCTATTTTAAAAATAATTATTGCATACAGTAGTTGATAATATACTTATGTTTTAATCGAAACTACTTTTATTTTTGAATATTCTTCTGCTTTTTGCAAATGATTTTGCAATAAAAATATCAATAAATACTGTTTAAGTTTCAGAACTTCACCAGAACACTTGCTCTAATAAATTTAGAATTGTATTCAAACTTAAGACTCTTAAAAAATCATATTTCAAGTTTTAAGCTTCTTAAAAGTTAAGCGTTGTTTTAATAATTTAATGCCAATTTTACTCATTAATAGTGATAAAAATTGAATGTAGATATATGTATTATAGGTAAAGTAGATCTAAAGTTGTTATTGAAATAATAGTCTAAATTTTAACACTAAAGTATGAGTTCATCTCAGGACTGATGAATCAAATATTGAATTCAATAGGTGTTAATGCATTTATTATTAAAATCACTTTATTATAGCTTCCAATTTATGAAACAAAGTAAAAAAAAATAACATTATTGCGGCGCGATCTACCAGAATTTCGTTAAATTTAGGTATAACAACTTGTTTATGTTCTCAATCGTTATCATTATGAAAAGCTCTTTTTACGATAAGCATTTCATAATAGGTTAAAATTAGAATGAATAGCAGTATCTAGATCAATAAATTAGTCATTTACGCATTCCAAAGATTATATTTAATATTCATGAATTACATTATTGTAAAAGGCCCAATACAATTTATCCAAAAAAACATGAGGTTGTAATTTAACTTAGAAATATCCATCTCACTTAAAATAAAGGGTGATAAAATATACACTTTTAGTTGAATTTTTATTTAATGAAGAGATTTATAGCTCTAAAAAAATAAAAGAGCTTAGAGTAAGAAAATGTATGTGTATTAATTTCGAGATTTCAAATTGGGAAATTATTTATGAGCTTTTTTTACTAGAATTTCTTGCCTCCTGTTCTTTATTAATACCGAGTGAATTAAAGATTTAGCTAATATTTAACAAATTTTATGGCAATAAAATTTATGTTATCCAATTTTGGGTTGATTTTGAGAATACCATCCTAATGAATTTTTTTTATGGTAGCAATAAGATTTATTTTATCAAATGCTTTCATTTACCTTGAGATTAGCTACTCTAATTCTTCAAAGAGGCTATATTAAATTACAGAGTCAATTAAGTTAGTAATCCAATTCTTTGTTAACCAAATTAAATAATCAAGTTATTGAATCAATCTTGTTTTTAGAGATTCTATTTTGTTCTATAAATTCCAAATATTATATATGAGGCATAATAATTGACTCATGTTCTAAAATCTATTCTTTTTATTATTAATCAAAACAATATTTAAGAAACTGATAATCAATAATTTAAGAATTAGATTGACTCTATTGACCACAAGACTTGCATAAGAGCCTCTGATTTCTTGATAATTATGGATCTAGAATCACAAATTCTATTTATGGATGATTTAATCTACATAACAAATCAAATTCTTTTTCTATTACTTTTGGTTAATAAATTTACATTAAATTTAATAATAAATTCAATATTTACAATTTCTATTATAAAGATTATAATTTCCAATCATTATTTTTAGAACTAAATAGAAATCATCAAATGATAAGTTATTAGGAGATATTATTTTTTATATGAATTACTATAGTATGTTAGTACTTATTTAAATATCATTGTATATAGTTGAGATAAAGAATAGTGAATAATAAATTTAATTCTAAATAGTATAGTTATTAAATTTGTTAAATAGTTAAATTGATAAGGTTAATCGAATTATTAAGATTTAATTCAAATAAAATTAATTGATATTAATTAATAATGATAATAAACTTCATTTTAATATCTTTAACTTGTCAGACTATCATTTATGAGTTTATTGCTAATTCACTTACAACTAGTGGTAATTTCTTTATTTTTATATTAGAATGGGAAGGCAATTCTAATTTAAATAATTGTGGACTGATTCTATATTTGGAGTCTACTAATCCAAGTGTTCGTGTTAGCAGAATGTTTTTAGGTCTAGAACCTCATTCTCAAATTATAGTGGATGCAGAATTTTTAAGGTATTTAATATTCTTCATTGCAATAGTATTGGTACCAATAATCCAATTTAATTCTATGTAGACTCGCAATTATAAAATAGTGTGTAAGTGATATCATCTTAAAGTTTTATGTGTAGTGGTGCATAACCTGCACAGTATCAAACTATTTCTATTACTAATAAACATAATAGAAGAAATCTTTGGTTGAATTTTTTTTAATAGTCTGGAGGATTAGTATACCTAAAATTAAGTATCATTAAATGCTAGTATGAAACTGCTGGATGCATAGAGAATTATGATACACTTTGTTTATATTGGAAACTGCATTAATAATCATTTTATTAGAAATATATCACACAATCGGATGGATGGGTAGCTTAACCATTTTAGTTAACAAGTTACATATAATGTGGATATTGTTTAATGTTGGTTTTTTAATAAATTAAATATTAAACCTATCTACCTCCTCATTAAGATATTTTAATAAGGTTTTTTAAATATAATACAAATATTATAATAGTAGACTATTCATATGGTAAATTAACTATTGATAGTCTATATTTTATAGAAATATTAATAAGAAATCATCGTGACCAGATATTATAACTCAATATACAAGCTCTGCCATATAATTTTATAAGAGATTTCGAAATATTTTATACTGAGCCAGAATTAACATTTAAGAATTTCAATGAAGGTTGNCTTGCATAAGAGCCTCTGATTTCTTGATAATTATGGATCTAGAATCACAAATTCTATTTATGGATGATTTAATCTACATAACAAATCAAATTCTTTTTCTATTACTTTTGGTTAATAAATTTACATTAAATTTAATAATAAATTCAATATTTACAATTTCTATTATAAAGATTATAATTTCCAATCATTATTTTTAGAACTAAATAGAAATCATCAAATGATAAGTTATTAGGAGATATTATTTTTTATATGAATTACTATAGTATGTTAGTACTTATTTAAATATCATTGTATATAGTTGAGATAAAGAATAGTGAATAATAAATTTAATTCTAAATAGTATAGTTATTAAATTTGTTAAATAGTTAAATTGATAAGGTTAATCGAATTATTAAGATTTAATTCAAATAAAATTAATTGATATTAATTAATAATGATAATAAACTTCATTTTAATATCTTTAACTTGTCAGACTATCATTTATGAGTTTATTGCTAATTCACTTACAACTAGTGGTAATTTCTTTATTTTTATATTAGAATGGGAAGGCAATTCTAATTTAAATAATTGTGGACTGATTCTATATTTGGAGTCTACTAATCCAAGTGTTCGTGTTAGCAGAATGTTTTTAGGTCTAGAACCTCATTCTCAAATTATAGTGGATGCAGAATTTTTAAGGTATTTAATATTCTTCATTGCAATAGTATTGGTACCAATAATCCAATTTAATTCTATGTAGACTCGCAATTATAAAATAGTGTGTAAGTGATATCATCTTAAAGTTTTATGTGTAGTGGTGCATAACCTGCACAGTATCAAACTATTTCTATTACTAATAAACATAATAGAAGAAATCTTTGGTTGAATTTTTTTTAATAGTCTGGAGGATTAGTATACCTAAAATTAAGTATCATTAAATGCTAGTATGAAACTGCTGGATGCATAGAGAATTATGATACACTTTGTTTATATTGGAAACTGCATTAATAATCATTTTATTAGAAATATATCACACAATCGGATGGATGGGTAGCTTAACCATTTTAGTTAACAAGTTACATATAATGTGGATATTGTTTAATGTTGGTTTTTTAATAAATTAAATATTAAACCTATCTACCTCCTCATTAAGATATTTTAATAAGGTTTTTTAAATATAATACAAATATTATAATAGTAGACTATTCATATGGTAAATTAACTATTGATAGTCTATATTTTATAGAAATATTAATAAGAAATCATCGTGACCAGATATTATAACTCAATATACAAGCTCTGCCATATAATTTTATAAGAGATTTCGAAATATTTTATACTGAGCCAGAATTAACATTTAAGAATTTCAATGAAGGTTGTTTAGAATAAATAGATGATAAATGTCTGATTTGTCAGGAAGGTTGGATTTAAGACGAATTTCTAGAAAATTGTCATCCAATTTGTGGAGATGGAATCATTTAAGGATAAGAAGAATGTGATTATTTAATATCTAATCATTCTTGTATTAAATGCAAATATTAATGTATTGAAAATTGTTAAATTTGTTAATTCGGAATTTGTTTATAATGTGTAGATGGATTTGTTATTAATTCCAATTAAAACTGTGATCCTTTATGCGGAGATGGTAATTTGACACCATATTCAGTTGAATAATGTGAACTGACTGTGAACGGTGTATGGGAAGGTTGTTTGGATTGTAGATTCATTTCAATCACTAATTGTAAAACTAGCTATTTTTCAATTTGCTTATAGTGCGAAATAGGATTTTAATTGGAAGAAAATGTGTGTTTTCCTTATTGTGGAGATAAATTCGTTCTCTAATAATATGAAGATTGTGATGATGGAAATTTTGAACCTTATGATGGTTGTTATTAATGTAAGTTCCAATGTATTGAAGATTGCAATATATGTGATCGAGGATAATGCATTTTAAAATGTGGAGATGGATATGAGTTTGTAAATAACAAATGTCTTTCTGTTTGCGGTGATTAAATTGTCACAAAAGAAGAAGATTGTGATGATGGTAATACGATAAAATTTGATGGATGTTTTCAGTGTAAGTATTCTTGCCCAGAAAATTGTTATGATTGCTATTAAGGTACTTGCTTAGAGTGCATAGATCAATACTAATTGCTACTTTCAAATTAATGCAAATTATAATTAAATTGTGGAGATGGATTGGTCTAGGAAGAAGAGGAATGCGATGATGGTAATTATTATGCAGCCGATGGATGCAAAGATTGCTTAATTGAATAAAATTGGATTTGCATTACTATGACAAAAGATTCTCCTAGCTAATGCACATTCGTCAAAGCTCCAAACTTTGTTATTAATTATCTCAATATGACTTAGAATAAATAATATATAAGTATCTAATTTACTTAATAAGTAAAAATTTATACACCTCAACCCTTATCAGAAACTTTGAATTTTGAGATACCAGATATAGACAAGAAACACTGGAATAGCAGCATACATATAATTTAAGATGTTGGATCATATTTGAGTTTTGGAGAGTATATTGTTCAAATAGAAGTTTACTAATTACTAAAATTTAGACCAATCTTGAAAATTTTAGTGAACCAGAATGTTGCTAATATAGATAATGCCATTTTGGTCGATTTAGAAGAATAAATAACACTGCAATATCCAAATTATCTAGATTAAACTCAAAAGGATTATTCTTAAAGGTTAAAAAGTCTAAACCAATATTTAATCTATAGCTTATCAGCGATTACTGTTGTAAGCCTGCTATTGGGAAGTGGGGATTTGTTTTTTGAGATTTTGGCAATCCTTTAATTTTAGCAATATTTAAGATATATCAACGTGTAATTTCCTGAAAATCTAGTTATTTATTTTTCAATTAATGATCTGATAACTGTTCAGCCTCTCTTAGATTTTCTGTAATTCCCTCTAATTTTACAGTTTATTGATATTAAATCAAATTAGGAATATTGTGACGGAAAATTTAATTTTTACAAATAAAATTCAAGCTTGATCATTAATCTTTAGTGTCAAATATTTTAATGCTCTCTATTTTTATTCCTTGTTGTGCTGTTTCGATGGGTTAAAAGAGTGATGTATACATCGATTTTTCGTTCTAGGTACTTTTACTATATGTCATCGCTAGCATTATATATCAATCCAAAAATTGTTTTGAAAATTAGTTAATCCTTTTATAACATTTGCCTGGATTTACTTAAATTGGAGAAATTTATGTCTTTATAAGGAGTGTAAAAAGCCTTACTCCTCAATGGTTGGGATATGATATTTAAAACACTATTATATACACGAAACATCTAAACCAAAAATTACTTAGATATTGTACAACTTGTAATCGTAATTATTATCCTACTACTTTATTTTAACATATTAATAAATTTTTTCAATCTGGATTAACAATTATTTAAAGTGAACAAAAATCTAAGGTTCAAAGTTCTAAGTTTTGGTAGATAATTTTTCTTTTTATTATTCTTGATTTATGTTTAAAATTCATAAATACTCCAATTAGGATTGCTCCTCTTAACGAGCTTAATATAAACAATGTTCCTTTAAAAATATCATTTCATCTTTAGTTAAAAGAACTACATCGTTTAGATGGTAGTTGAGATATCAGTAATCGCTTTTATACTAAGTTCATTTTTATACATATCGGAGTACAATGAATAATTTAATCAGGAGAACAAAATTTTATTGGGATGGTTTCAAGCAATACTACTATCAACAGGCATAATTATAGAATTAATTTTAATCTGTTAAGAATTATTATTAAAACTTAATCTGACTTCAAGAAGAAAGTAATTAGTCGTTAAAAATCCGTTATTCATATGAATATAATGAAATAATAAATTACATCAAAGTTTATATAATATATAAAGTATTATTGAATTATAGACACAAATATATAGTGTAATAAAATTAGACAATCTTCATCGACTTAATATCAAGTCAAATATATTGTAAAAGATTCTTCTATTTCACAAAGTATTTTCATTGTTTGAAAAGTATACAGATATTAATAAATCTTAAACACAATTTATTGGATGATATATTAATAAATAATAACGAAAAGTGTTAAATTCATACAAGTCGTTAAGGAAGACTTATCTCCGAGAATTAACTAAGTCAAAATAATGGTTGAACACTATATTTGGAGGTCATTTACTATGGGTTCTGGCATTGCCTTCTAAATATTATATTTTTTTTTAGAGAGAAGGACTAAAAGAGGAAGAAAATGACCAAAAATTAATGATTAAGAGAATAGCTATAATACTTTTGGGCAGAGGAGGCTATTTTTAAATGCAGGGCTAATTGTGTGTAAAATTCATATGATTACACAAAATGACTTATTCTAAGCTAGTAGTTTCTCGTACATAAAATTCACATTTTTATATTGAGAAGACCCTTAGTTAGTTGTCTAATGAGAAATCAGAGCTTCTTGCTTCAAAAACAAAATTTAGTAAAGTTGCTTCGATTTTGATAATGTATTTTTGATGATTTCTATTAGAATTTTCTTTCAAGATGATGTTATTTATAATAGAATTATGCGTGTATTGATAAGATCAAAATTATGATATTGTTACTCCAATTATGGTAACAAATACTTAACAAAAAGCAATTTTAATTATTACAAAAGTTTTTGACGTAATTGTTTTATGTAATAAGATACGAGTTTTAAGAGGAGAATCATCTCTATTTTTTGAGAAAACAATCTATAATATAGCTTTTTATCACTAGTTGTACATTGATTTTGAAATGTTAGATGAGAAATTNAATGGTTGGGATATGATATTTAAAACACTATTATATACACGAAACATCTAAACCAAAAATTACTTAGATATTGTACAACTTGTAATCGTAATTATTATCCTACTACTTTATTTTAACATATTAATAAATTTTTTCAATTAGGATTAACAAATATTTAAAGTGAACAAAGTTCTAAGTTTTGGTAGATAATTTTTCTTTTTATTATTCTTGATTTATGTTTAAAATTCATAAATACTCCAATTAGGATTGCTCCTCTTAACGAGCTTAATATAAACAATGTTCCTTTAAAAATATCATTTCATCTTTAGTTAAAAGAACTACATCGTTTAGATGGTAGTTGAGATATCAGTAATCGCTTTTATACTAAGTTCATTTTTATACATATCGGAGTACAATGAATAATTTAATCAGGAGAACAAAATTTTATTGGGATGGTTTCAAGCAATACTACTATCAACAGGCATAATTATAGAATTAATTTTAATCTGTTAAGAATTATTATTAAAACTTAATCTGACTTCCAGAAGAAAGTAATTAGTCATTAAAAATCCGTTATTCATATGAATATTATGAAATAATAAATTACATCAAAGTTTATATAATATATACAGTATTATTGAATTATAGACACAAATATATAGTGTAATAAAATTAGACAATCTTCATCGACTTAATATCAAGTCAAATATATTGTAAAAGATTCTTCTATTTCACAAAGTATTTTCATTGTTTGAAAAGTATACAGATATTAATAAATCTTAAACACAATTTATTGGATGATATATTAATAAATAATAACGAAAAGTGTTAAATTCATACAAGTCGTTAAGGAAGACTTATCTCCGAGAATTAACTAAGTCAAAATAATGGTTGAACACTATATTTGGAGGTCATTTACTATGGGTTCTGGCATTGCCTTCTAAATATTATATTTTTTTTTAGAGAGAAGGACTAAAAGAGGAAGAAAATGACCAAAAATTAATGATTAAGAGAATAGCTATAATACTTTTGGGCAGAGGAGGCTATTTTTAAATGCAGGGCTAATTGTGTGTAAAATTCATATGATTACACAAAATGACTTATTCTAAGCTAGTAGTTTCTCGTACATAAAATTCACATTTTTATATTGAGAAGACCCTTAGTTAGTTGTCTAATGAGAAATCAGAGCTTCTTGCTTCAAAAACAAAATTTAGTAAAGTTGCTTCGATTTTGATAATGTATTTTTGATGATTTCTATTAGAATTTTCTTTCAAGATGATGTTATTTATAATAGAATTATGCGTGTATTGATAAGATCAAAATTATGATATTGTTACTCCAATTATGGTAACAAATACTTAACAAAAAGCAATTTTAATTATTACAAAAGTTTTTGACGTAATTGTTTTATGTAATAAGATACGAGTTTTAAGAGGAGAATCATCTCTATTTTTTGAGAAAACAATCTATAATATAGCTTTTTATCACTAGTTGTACATTGATTTTGAAATGTTAGATGAGAAATTCAAATGTGTTATCTTGTTTTGGGCAAGTTTAACTCAGGTATTGTTAGATTTCAATAAAACTTTAAATTTAATTAATGCTTTTAGAATAGATTTTATAAATATACAGATACTTGATATTGATATTGATAAAATTATTTTATCTCAGCTTCCTGCTTGCTTTTACTGAACTCAGAGGCTTCGCGCTTGTTGAGAACTTTTCTTGATCTTTTTAAATCTTAATTAAAATTTATATTGAATGGGGTAAATGATCATTATATTTTGGAAGTTGAGCTCTGAATAATAGAATCTATTATAATTTGGTTGAATTAGTGATTGGGCATATTTATGATACAGCATATACTTAATTTATCAAAGAATTTACCTATTAGATTAATTAAACCTCATTTACAACCTAAAAATAATACCCTTAAATTTCTTTCCAAAAATAAATATGCTAGCATTTTCTTTCATTTAGAACCTTCCAAGAAAAATTTTAGAATAGTTTGCTATGTATTAAATTATGCAATAATTGCAAATATTAATGAGGGGTTTTATCAAACTAGCCTGATGTATAAATTTTAGCTATATATGTATAACTAATCACAGCTGGAAATTGTTGATATGCTAATTTATATTATATTGGTGATGAGAGCTGCAGACTTTGAAGTTCAGTCTCATCATTTTATTGAGTGTCCTAACAATCCTCATCAATGTCATTTAATTAGCCCTTAAATTGATGAACGAGCATTATTCATCGAGCTTTTTAATGATTAATTAGTGGGATTTTAAGGTTTTTGTCATTAGTAAAGCCGAAGATGAATAAAACAAAATTAAATAAATATGTTTCATTAGGATTACCATTTAGTTATTATAAAGCGAATATCTTTATCCTTCTTTTACCAGTATTGATCCTGCGGAATAAGATTTTTAAAATATTTCAGCCTAAATGTACAATTATCTTACATCTCAATATTGTCAATATTGAGATAACAATTTGAAAAATATCATTTAATCTGAAAGCCCAAATAATTTGAGTTTCATTACATAATACTGACAAAATTTGATTATTGTTTCATTCATTGCTATGGCTCATAGAATAAAGCTTAAAATAAAATCTTTTTTAAATTGCAATTTGAGAGTATCTTTTTTAGAGCAAAAATTCAAAACTTTATCTTTTTGTTTTTTTAAATTAAGTCAAAAAAAAAATCAAACTTCTCTAATTTAAAAGAATACTCTCATGTTTCGCATCCGGTTGGGTTCTTTAGTTCAAGAACACTAAAGTACCTTACACAAACTCTTAATTGTTTTTCTATCTAATAAGTAAATGAAATAATTATTCTTAAAGAATAAAAATATACTAGGAATCATTCATAAAGAAGTTCCTTTCATGGCATTATGGTTAGCTTTGCCTATTCAAAATAGTTTTTGCTTGATAAACCTTTTGGTTTTTGATGCTTTCGTTGCGCTTGAATGTTTTAGAGGAGACATACAACATTATTAAAGTATTCTAACTTAGAATCATTTGCTGGTCAAAATTTATTGTTTTAATAATTGAGTCATCTATTATTTTAGATTTTGGTCTTATTTCGGATCAAATAAATTTCATTCTTGCTTGCCTAATCCAAATTGTATTTCTATGGGCAATTAAAATTATAAAGTCATTTCACAAATAACATTAGATTTATTCTTACAATTAAGCAGGATTCAAATTTAGATTTAGAAAAAAATATAAGTAAATAGATTTTTTCGAAAGGCTTCTTGCCTCATCGATAAGTCATAAATATGGATGCTATCTGCTGATAAATATTTTATGAATCTTTTTAAGATTATGCTTTCATAATTATTAAAGAAGTCTTTCAATTTGATAATTGGTTTGTCTTCTAGTTTACTTTTTGGTATAGAAATACCATTATCTATGTTCCCTAAAATTTCATTATGATCTAACCCGCTCTAATTAAATCCTCACTCCTATTTGAATTCAGATTAATTGATCTACTCACCCCCTTAAAGCAAAAAACCATATCTTATATAAATTTGTGGTTAGCCTCTTTTTCGTATTCTGCTATAGATATTTCTTCATCGTCATAAAAAGCATCCTTAATTTCAAAGTTTTAATAGGCATTGTATCCATGGATACAATTAATGAAGTAATCCTTTGAGCTTGTTGGAATAACCTCAGACTCACGTTTAAAATATACCTATAAATAAAGCTCTTGTATAATAGACAAGCATATTTAAAAAGGTTGTAAGTCAAAAATTTATTGAAGATGATAAATGTAATAATATAAGTATTAAGTTTGGTACACTAAATAATTTTCAGATTCCTTAATAACAAGGAATTCTAAAACTTTACATTCCAATAAATTCCTAATAATTTTTTATTCTTACAAATTCTTAGTTGTGATTATATAATTAATATGAAAGTGCAGAACGAAATTGAATCCAAAGTTGCTTAAAAATAAAATTTACTTTTATTAAGTTCGGAGTCAGCCCTCCAGCTGAGAGAACCATGGCTCTCTTGCCCAGACTACACCCAGTTTCCTACTACACCTACTTTTAGTCAGATAACAAGGTAATGAAGAAAATAATAAACATTCTACCTCACCCTGGCAATTGTAGGTAGGTGGGTAGCCAATTCTAATTGTGGATAGCTTTTAAGGAGTAGCTAAGTAGGAGCTTGGTAGAATTCTCTTGTTTGGAGTTGGTTCACTCTGAACCCGCAACAACATCTCTTAGTCAAACTAGACCCAGTTAAAAATTGTTGCTTTGTCATTATATGGATTTCATTTTCATCCTAAATTCGAAAAATCCCTTCTCCCTTGATAAATTAAAGACTGTTAATTCTGGTAATTAAACATTTTACTTTATTGAATTTTATTTTACTTTACGGGTTTGAAATAAGCTATGGTTTGAGATGTAAGGGGAAAGAGAAAGAGATAAATGCACCGTGAATCATAACTTTTATCCCGCCTTGATGTAGTTATCTCTGGCATACCGAAGATGATACAGAGGGATAGGAAACAGGTGGAGTCTAGAACAGAGACTCTCTCTAGCGATTTGTCCGCTTGGATATTTGAAATTTTATCACATCTAGTATGTGCTGTCACTAATGGGCAAGATAGTGATAAAGAAACATGAAGAGGCTCTTTTTTTGCTGTTCGGGATTGAAATGATTTACACTAAATTTTAAAATTAAATTGAAAATAATTATACAGCAGCTTTATTTCATTGTTCAATTCTTTGAGAAAAATGAAAATGATTTATGTTGTTTGATACATTATTTTATTCTTTTGGATTCTCTTTATCATGATAAAGAGCTAAATTCTAAATTTGATTAACTTTTTTCAATTTCATAGGGGACTATTTCTGAGTAAGCAGAATTAGTTAATTTAGCAACTTCTCATAACTCCTTAGTAATATTTATTCAAATTTTGCAACTACAAAATACTTCAATTAAAGTTGATACGAAATAATAAAAGTATCACTTCTGAGTCTTAATCTAGAGATTCTAAGTCTCCAAATATGCTAGAAAGATTGCTTATTTAAGAACTTGGATAAGATACTTATGAATATTCGATTGGGCTAAGAATAGAGTCTGATATCGAAAGAACAACATAAGCAGGTGCATTTTAATACATGCTTTTTTTCTTTATCACCAAGTTTCCAATTTCAAAAATAGTTAAAAACCATTTTAATTGTTAGTTCAAACGACTTCCATAAAAAAATTACTCATGAATTTCCTTAATTGAACTTGCAACTAGTTATATTAATATAAGATACAGTAAATTTAACTTTCTTTCTTTGTAAGTATTTATTTTTTTAAGCTCCTTAATTGTGTAACTAGAAAATACTTTTTTGAGTTGCGAGAGAGAAGATTGTTTAATCGTTAGGCCAATTTATCAACTGATGAGTATAGAATGCTATCAGAAGAAAAATAATTTGGAAGGCTATAAAATTTTTCAAGAAATAAAATACCAATAATGTAGTTATTTTTCAAAANTCATGATAAAGAGCTAAATTCTAAATTTGATTAACTTTTTTCAATTTCATAGGGGACTATTTCTGAGTAAGCAGAATTAGTTAATTTAGCAACTTCTCATAACTCCTTAGTAATATTTATTCAAATTTTGCAACTACAAAATACTTCAATTAAAGTTGATACGAAATAATAAAAGTATCACTTCTGAGTCTTAATCTAGAGATTCTAAGTCTCCAAATATGCTAGAAAGATTGCTTATTTAAGAACTTGGATAAGATACTTATGAATATTCGATTGGGCTAAGAATAGAGTCTGATATCGAAAGAACAACATAAGCAGGTGCATTTTAATACATGCTTTTTTTCTTTATCACCAAGTTTCCAATTTCAAAAATAGTTAAAAACCATTTTAATTGTTAGTTCAAACGACTTCCATAAAAAAATTACTCATGAATTTCCTTAATTGAACTTGCAACTAGTTATATTAATATAAGATACAGTAAATTTAACTTTCTTTCTTTGTAAGTATTTATTTTTTTAAGCTCCTTAATTGTGTAACTAGAAAATACTTTTTTGAGTTGCGAGAGAGAAGATTGTTTAATCGTTAGGCCAATTTATCAACTGATGAGTATAGAATGCTATCAGAAGAAAAATAATTTGGAAGGCTATAAAATTTTTCAAGAAATAAAATACCAATAATGTAGTTATTTTTCAAAATGTGTATCAAAGTTAAATTAAATATTTTTTTGACATTCCGTTATTATTTGGCCCATATTAAATCTGTTTGCTTCTTCAACTTCACATTTGAGTTATTTTATTTTTTTTGAATTCTTTTGATATCATTATTGTATTTTCATGCATATTACCCTTATTTTGTAATTTTTATGTAATTTTATTTGTTGTATCATTTAAATTCTAAATTTTTTAATTCAGATTCATTTTTCCTAATCCAATTTATGATTGCTTTATCATGACTCCCTGAAATAATTTGATGCATTATTATTTATTATGAAGTAATGTAGTACCCATTATCAACTCCAAAAATTTTTAATCCTTTTTTTACCCTATTATAATCGTACCATGTCTGTTCGTTGATATTAGTTTTCTTCATTTAGTTTAAATTAAAATCAAAATAGTTACGTATATTAAACTCTATAGATATTTCAAGATACCATAAATGAATGTATTAAATAAATGATCTTCTCTTTTTTCATAATCGAATGGGTTCGATTTTTTATAGAAAAGTAGATGAAAGTATCCTTGATTCTATACGAATAACTTTTGCATCATATTGCCTACAAATATTATATTCCCATTTTCACATTCTTAAGTCTTGCCTTCCTTTAGTTCATAAATTTGCAGGTTATTTTTGTTGATTTAAAGATTATTCAATAATCTATTCTTACTTTTCATATGGAGATTTTGAGAGAACTATTTGATAAATCTAAATTTCAAATTAAGGGGAAAATAATTATCAGAATATTCGAAAATAAATTTTGAAGTACCTTTATTAGTTAGCATCGACAGTATTATTAAGAATTTAATCTAAATAAGCACTGATATTAATGTAAGATAATTCAATTATCAATGAACAAGATATTTTATCTTTTGCAAGAATTCTTTCATTTTATGTTGTAAACTTTTTAATTTCTTCTTATTGTTGAATTTGATTTTTTACCTTCAGAATTTGATTGTTGAAGTTTGCTTAGTTTATTGGTTTCATTTACTAATAGTTGAAGTTAAAAGAGAAATGAATACTGAAGGATTTAAGCTAACCATAACAGAGACAAGATCTTTTGCTTTAACTTTCTTTGAATTTTTAAGTGTATTCTAAATTTTAAAACATTTTTCTGTTTTTATGACGTTGAGTTTTAAAAGTAAAATCATGCATAGAATGTAACTGATTAATTAAATGCGATCTGAATAATTAGCTACTTATTGAGTATTAAAATATACCATTGAGGAAAAATTGGTAAAAGAAATAGATGACAATTTTTTTTGTTATAAAAATATAATTTGGTGTATTAAGGGGTGAATATATGTAATCTGTGAATAACTCTATAAAGTTCAGCTTTATGTTGTGGTTTTCTTAAAATTTGATCTCGATCATCAATCAAATTTATAATATTTGTTGTTTTAGATGAGAAATAATAATGGCTATCATAAGCAATATCGCTTAGTCATTATCTCTTTGTACTAAAGAGTTCACTTTTTAAATTAAAATATCATTTTCAAATCAAAAAAAAAGTGGCAGTTAGACATATCTTAATTATTACCAAACTTAGGTAATTAATTTTAGAAGGTATTTTAGATTTATTCCTGCAAAGTAGAAAACAGCTTTTGGAATTGGGTCATTAGGTTTAAAGGTCAATAACTCCATATTTAATATGAGAATACAACCCATTGCTATACTTGGATGTTTAACGGTATTCTGATCTGCCTTCATCAATCATCAGACCTTGTAGAAGTCTCCAATTTTGGAAACCTAATGCAAATTATTTATATTTTTGATTGCTTATTTAAGAACTTGGATAAGATACTTATGAATATTCGATTGGGCTAAGAATAGAGTCTGATATCGAAAGAACAACATAAGCAGGTGCATTTTAATACATGCTTTTTTTCTTTATCACCAAGTTTCCAATTTCAAAAATAGTTAAAAACCATTTTAATTGTTAGTTCAAACGACTTCCATAAAAAAATTACTCATGAATTTCCTTAATTGAACTTGCAACTAGTTATATTAATATAAGATACAGTAAATTTAACTTTCTTTCTTTGTAAGTATTTATTTTTTTAAGCTCCTTAATTGTGTAACTAGAAAATACTTTTTTGAGTTGCGAGAGAGAAGATTGTTTAATCGTTAGGCCAATTTATCAACTGATGAGTATAGAATGCTATCAGAAGAAAAATAATTTGGAAGGCTATAAAATTTTTCAAGAAATAAAATACCAATAATGTAGTTATTTTTCAAAATGTGTATCAAAGTTAAATTAAATATTTTTTTGACATTCCGTTATTATTTGGCCCATATTAAATCTGTTTGCTTCTTCAACTTCACATTTGAGTTATTTTATTTTTTTTGAATTCTTTTGATATCATTATTGTATTTTCATGCATATTACCCTTATTTTGTAATTTTTATGTAATTTTATTTGTTGTATCATTTAAATTCTAAATTTTTTAATTCAGATTCATTTTTCCTAATCCAATTTATGATTGCTTTATCATGACTCCCTGAAATAATTTGATGCATTATTATTTATTATGAAGTAATGTAGTACCCATTATCAACTCCAAAAATTTTTAATCCTTTTTTTACCCTATTATAATCGTACCATGTCTGTTCGTTGATATTAGTTTTCTTCATTTAGTTTAAATTAAAATCAAAATAGTTACGTATATTAAACTCTATAGATATTTCAAGATACCATAAATGAATGTATTAAATAAATGATCTTCTCTTTTTTCATAATCGAATGGGTTCGATTTTTTATAGAAAAGTAGATGAAAGTATCCTTGATTCTATACGAATAACTTTTGCATCATATTGCCTACAAATATTATATTCCCATTTTCACATTCTTAAGTCTTGCCTTCCTTTAGTTCATAAATTTGCAGGTTATTTTTGTTGATTTAAAGATTATTCAATAATCTATTCTTACTTTTCATATGGAGATTTTGAGAGAACTATTTGATAAATCTAAATTTCAAATTAAGGGGAAAATAATTATCAGAATATTCGAAAATAAATTTTGAAGTACCTTTATTAGTTAGCATCGACAGTATTATTAAGAATTTAATCTAAATAAGCACTGATATTAATGTAAGATAATTCAATTATCAATGAACAAGATATTTTATCTTTTGCAAGAATTCTTTCATTTTATGTTGTAAACTTTTTAATTTCTTCTTATTGTTGAATTTGATTTTTTACCTTCAGAATTTGATTGTTGAAGTTTGCTTAGTTTATTGGTTTCATTTACTAATAGTTGAAGTTAAAAGAGAAATGAATACTGAAGGATTTAAGCTAACCATAACAGAGACAAGATCTTTTGCTTTAACTTTCTTTGACTTTTTAATTGTATTCTAAATTTAAAACATTTTTCTGTTTTTATGACTTTGAGTTTTAAAAGTAAAATCATGCATAGAATGTAACTGATTAATTAAATGCGATCTGAATAATTAGCTACTTATTGAGTATTAAAATATACCATTGAGGAAAAATTGGTAAAAGAAATAGATGACAATTTTTTTTGTTATAAAAATATAATTTGGTGTATTAAGGGGTGAATATATGTAATCTGTGAATAACTCTATAAAGTTCAGCTTTATGTTGTGGTTTTCTTAAAATTTGATCTCGATCATCAATCAAA